CGTTTCGTGTTTTTCTTTTCCAAATTTTCCACCCATTTGACACATAAGGTTCTGAAAATAAACAAAATTCGTATATAATACGCACCCATAAAATTACGTTTATTTTTCAATAAATTATCTAAAATTTTGATATAATGCATACTCGTGTACAATATGCATCGCTGATCAGTGGATAAAATATAATTCGCACTACACTTATTTTTTTCTTTATTTGCAATTGCATCAAATATTTATTAAGAAAACAGATAATAAAACTAGTTATTACACTTTTTGGAAATATTTCTTCAGATTGAAGAATTCATATTTTTTTTCGTTAGGATTTCTTAGATATCTGTGTTATTTGAATTCTGAATTAAATTAATGTTTTTCTTAGAAATTTGAAATTTATTTATTTTTAATAATAAATTTGATTTCTTTCTTCGAAAGTAGTAAATATTAATTCAAAAACTTACAAATTCAGTTAGCAGGAAATATTTTTTTTAAGTTTATATATCAGAATACACACTTTAATTCAGTTGATTTTATGTTTTATCTTGAAGAAAAATCTCCTGCGACGAAAAAAATCCTATTATTGGTTTTTGTTTCATGCAGTATATATATATATTTTCTCTTTCTATCTCTCTTCTTCTTCTTCTTCTTCACTCGGGCAGTGAGGTAGATAGATTGTATATCGAGTGCATGTAGTGTGAACGCTGCAAAAGCTTTCAACCCAGATCCGATCCTCGGCGAATCCCGAAGCTGCATTATAATGGAACCCGTACATGTGTAACTTTATTAAAATCGCAATTTAATATCCCATACACTCAAAGAGTATAGCCAGAAGAGTGAAATGCCCTGCTCCAAGTCAATATTGGGTTTGCGCAAATGCAGCACAGTTGCTGTGCATATTCCAGGCAAGCTCATCTCCATCCGAAATCTGATTTGCAAACGGTTGCAGCAACTATTTACATTATTATATCTACTTCATATAACTTCATTCAAATTATGTTGAAACTCAAAATACTTCGAATAATTATTATAGTTATACAACAATGAATATTTCAAGTTTAAAAGTATATTAACTTTTGAAGAGGTGACCAATACAAATGTACAAGTTGTATAGCCAATATACTATACTCGTTTCTTAATGTAATAAGACCAATAGATAACTAGAAGAAAAACGAATGTTTCGAAAATAATTTTGTTGAAGAAACAAATCTGTAAAAAATACATAATTAATATGTTATTGTCTTAATTAAAACTAAACCAAGTTTAACTCTAAAAATTATTTAATAATTATAATGTATATTTCGTTTATTTATCTGTAGTAAATTTAAGTGAAAAAATATATTCTACAATTATCTAAGTTTCTGGGTAAAAGTTCCATTAATTATTGTTCCAAAATAATGTTTAAAAATACAGACTTTGTAGAAATAATAACAAACTAAATAAAAAAATGTAATTTGGAAGATGTCCAACAGATAAAGATTTTTTGTTGTCTTACGTAAAATTTCTTTGCAAAACGCCTCTTCGTGTCTTGCTGTTCGGTCTTCATCCGAATCGATTTCTTCTAAACCGACATCAATCAGTTCAAGGCCTTTACCTTTCCGTGATATCCATTCCAACTTCATCTTCCGACACAGAATTTCCGAACAAAATTTATATAACGACATCTCGTTATGACAAATCCAATACATTTTCAGCATCAAATTAAATTATGTTATAAAGCAAAACTCAAATAAAATTACAGAATAAACGATATTTCTTCTTGCAGTGATGATTGAACAAAGTGACGAATTTGCAATTTGTTTATCATCATCAAATTAACCTTTAAGGACAACTGACGGGTCAGAGTGACCCACCTGATTTTTGTTTTCATTAGCATTACTTTGTAATTTTTTCAAAATTAATAATCGTGTCATTTTGACCAATAAATAGTAGATTTTCAGCTTCAAATTAAATTATGTTATAAAACAAAACTCAAATCAAATTACAGAATAAATGATGTATAGTCTTGATAATATTAAATTAGTAATTTGCAACTATTTAAAAGAATTATTTTAAAATTAATTATATAACTACAAAATTATCGAATACATAGACATGAGATTTGGTCTTTTCTCAATTATTTAATTGAATATAAATTATATACTTGCATAATTATTATGAATTATAATTTATTAAACTTGATTAAAAAGACTATGAAAACCACTAAAAAAAGCTTTTAAGAAGTAAGTCATGAGTAATGTTCTATACAGAAATAACTAGCATTTATTACATTCCTTGAATCTCTATCACATCATTCATGTTTCCATCATCTCGGCTCTGACAAAGTGTAAATGCGATGGATTACTTTTGACGTGACATGAAAATTGTGAGAGATTCTCGGAAAATTAGCTTCGATAGACTGGAGAACTGCTCAGTATTCTGAATTGCTACAAGAAGTTCTGTGAACCGCAGAGTTTCGAGTTAGCGGAAAACTTTGCGATGAAGAGGCAGAGAACTCAGTTCATCATTATTAATATTATACCCGTCATCATTATTGCAGAGGCATCCTCGTTTGTGGTATTACTGTGCAACAAATAAATGGATTCAGTTTCAATTGATGTGCAATTTAATTAAAACAATGGAATATCGGGGGAGCGATTATCCCGAAAATCAATTATCATTTCATATTCGGACTCGTCCAAATTTCATAAATAAAAACGGATATTCGTTTGTTTTGCTCATATTTTGCTACGTTGCAGATCTAAATAATTAATTCGTTTATTTTTTTACATTGTATGAATTTCAATAAAAAATATCACTTTTTCAATTAAAATGAATGCAATGAACAATAAATTGTCTATTTTGCTACGTTTCAGGTATTATTTCCAAATTATTACTATTTCTTCTTGTAAATTTTTTAACTGTCTCAGGTTTATCATCATCAAATTATCCCAATTGATATTTGTTTTCATGTGCATTCCATTGTAATTCAATTATTTGGGTTGATCTGCTAGCTATTCTAGTGCACATTTCAATAGGAGCAAAGTAGTTGCGGTGAAAAGTACTTATTTTATTGTAGTTTATTTTGAGTCAAAGTGATCCCTCTATAGCAAACACGTTCTTGAAATATCATCGATATTGGGATTTCAAAGTGGAATAATTTTTTACCAACATGTCCTACACCTAAGAGAAAGACGTATTTTTATAAAAGCATAAGACCAATTTCTTCTACTTGCGCAAAAAAAGTTGCCCATATTAAATTCATTAAATAATAAGAATTAATTTGTGTTTGTTGTAAAAATTAATAATTTGTTTTTTTTAATATTTGACAATCGGGTCATTTTGACCCACTTGTGTTGTATTTATTTGTCCGTGGTAGTTACGGGTTAATACTAATAACTACTTATTACTTACTTATTTTTAAAGTTAAATTTCTCATTAAATAAGAAATGTATTTTGCATAATATAATTTAAAAACTCTTTTATATAATTCTGCAATTTTTGCACTAAATATTTCTGTACGATTTTAATAATACGTTTTTATGTTGTGTAATCAAATGAAATATTCATTTTCTATAATTCTTTATAGTTTCTGAAATATTTAATAAAAATATATAAAATTGACTAAAAAATGTAATTAAAAAATTGGAACGGAAATACTTTGAATAGGCACGTGTCCAATACGATGTTACCAGACTACTTTTCTATTTTTGATATAGCTTCGCTTTTCATTATATCCGGTCCGGGCGGAAAGCCAAATAATTTCGCATTATTTATGAAAGCTCACACTCTGCAACGGACTACAATCTCCATTGTACGAGTTTTTTTTAATCTCCTTCATATACGTCACCTATGGATATCATGAGCCAAAATGAACCTCTCTAATTACATATTTCAATTCACACTACATTAATCATGATATTAAAATTTAATGCGCTTTATTAAATTGATTTAGTGAACTAATTTCATAAAGCAATTAAATTACTATTATCTATTCAATATTCGAATTAATGCAATATTACATATCGAATTAATTAATTTATAAATATAATTTTCCGTACTTGATGTATCTAAATAAAACATCAGTTTTGTGCTATTGAAAATCGTATTATTTGACACTATATATAAAAATAGACATTCGCTTACAAATACAATCCTAGTGCGGTATTTCATAAAATCGTTACTCGCATAGCGTCTGAGAAACTCCGTTAAATGTAATGTTAGTAATTAAAATATATAAATATATAATTGATTAGATTGAGAAAATATAAAATATATATATAATAATGATATAATAATGATATTTTTTTGTTGGTAACGTGCTTTTACAAATCGTCAGTTATACAGACAGAATCTTCATAGGTCGGTGTTGCCCAACTCTTCATTTTTAAAAGTTATGATTGGTATTGTATCTACTGCGTCTCACAGACGCCATGCAATTAATGAAGGGCTAACTGTAAAAGAGTTTGCTTAACCATGAAAAGTAATGCTATGGGGAATGATGAATTAATGTATTAAAGTTGAATTAAAGTATAGTTTTAAACGAAGGTTGTCATAACTTAAGTACCATATTATTCGAGTGTCGTCTGTATTTGAAATTGGTACTGGTATGTGAACTTATTCATATTTTTAATATAATTTATGAAACAATAATGTAACTTAATCGTGTTTAAAAAAAATCCATATAATATGAAAATTACTAATTATTTATAAATTACTTCTGAATTATATAAAAATATCTTTTAATAGCAAAATACGTGTATCTTAACCATTTTTCTATTGTAGTTCAAATTGAGACTAAACAAAATTTGTTGCAAATCGTGTTACTTTGTGTTCATAACTTGACATACTTTTATGTCTTCTGTCACTCCTAGTGTGGATGCAGCATATCAAGTAAATAATTACATTGAATGTGTTAAGTATTTTTGTAAACATATGCGTTGACAGATTGGTTTATTTTGAAATCTTTCGTACATGTGTTTGATGATGATTTTCTGGTGTTAATGTTCTGGTATTTTGTTTTTATTTTCCAGAGTGTGATCAAACGTTCGTGAGTAGGCCCGGGGGTCCGCTGAACGGCACCTTCCAGGCACCGGAGTTCCTAAATCCGCGCGCCCATTCGCGCCAGTGTCTCTACAACTTCCTGGCGGGTCCCGGCCAAAGGGTCGAAGTCATCCTAACCAGTTTCACGCTGCGAGGCACTCCGCCAGAGTGAGTAACACCTAGGATCTAAGGATATCTCCAATATTTACTTCATACATATCAAATAAATAAATATCCAAACATAATTTCGATAATTTTCATTAATATGCTTGACGAGAAGCATCCAAAATTGGTCAACAGAAAGAATGTTGTGTTCCATCAAGACATCAAGATGTGTACGGCCTACACATCTTTAAATCGCACCCGCCGTATAGTCCAGACCTGGCACCAAGCAATTGTTACCTTTCCAAGCATTTGCAAAATTTTCTTGATGGTAAAAAACTGGCCTCAAGAGAGGCTTGCTAAAATGAGCTCGCCAAGTTTTTTTTATCAATAGAGACAAGGATTTTGTCAATTGCAAAATTATAAAATTGCCTTCAAAATGGAAAAAGAACAAAACGGCGCATATTTGATCTAAATCCGAAAATTCTAACTTTGATCGCTCAAAACTTTTTACTTCACCCAATATTTCAAGAAAAATGATAATGTTTACGAATCTTCATACATTATTAATGGTTTTCATATATTATTTTTATTTATTAAATTGCCTAATATTGTAACAAACTATAATTATATCTAGAAGGGTATTGATTCAATTGTGTGTTGAAAACATGAAAATTCAATAATGGATTAACAATTATGAAGTCATGTGGTAAACCAGAAATCTCTGTATACAATGAACGGCGAATTTATATTCAGGATTGAAACGGATTAAACCAAATTACAAAATTAATTTCGACGGAATCAAAAACAACGAAATTCTGTTTGGATGTATTTTGCATTGATTTGCGCGAATCTCAGTGCTCTCATTTTATGTTCCAGCAACATCGAAACTGCTATATATATATATTGTATTTTTTTCAATTCGTACAGAGGGACGATATATTTTTAAACTGCTCCTGTGTATCAATCATTCTGTGTATGTGTTTTATTTTTTTTCATTTCGCAGAGACCGCACTTTCGTGGAAACTGTTTAGGATAACGCAATTTATCGCCTGAAAAATGCTATTTTAACAACGTTACAATCGAAACTCACTTATTTATAGCCAACGATAATTCACACGTAAATATTGTTCGGATAGAATAAATATGTGGAGATGTTTTCGCTTCGAATTAAAAATATTCTATTATTTATCCTTATACTCGCAAATTGAGGGAAATATATTTATGGTTCTATTATTGAGGAGGTGCAATTCTTATTTTTGTTGGATGTTTCTTAATATTTTGCTAAAGGACGAAATTGTCCTCTACGTAATTTCATTATCTTTACGACCGGAAGGCGGTTCGCTTCTTTTTCCACAATTATGTATTTTTTTTTCGCTACTAAACCGTGAAAATGTTTCGTTGCGAAAATTGCGATTTCCTTCCGACTGCGAGAGTTTTCCGCTTACGCCAGATTTTCCTCATTAACTTTGATTAATTCCTCGCGTAATCTCGTAACGCTCCAAGTGTTCCTCTCGAATCGTTTTATTGAACCTAGTTTATAATCCTATTTTTTTCATCTTTGCCAACTTTGCTGGATTCTCGTATCTATTTTATATGTTCATTCACCAAGTATTAAATCTATTAGGTAAACGTATTATACGGAAAATTCATACTTTCTGAGTCAATTTTATGAATTTATTATATAAACTTTAGTTAAATTTTTCTTTAAAAAGTACATATTCTGATTTATATATTAAAATGATGAAAAGTTCATTGTAGGATTTCTATGGCAATTCATATTCAGAATTTTGGGTTTGATCACTGAAAGTTTTCCTTTCAAAAATTGATAAAATTTTAGAAACGTTACTTTAACCTACTTTATCTAAAGGACTGAATTTTGTTTACGAAGTAAAAATATAATCTAACTAAGAAATTATAATCACTGTTATCAATAAATTGGAGAATGTATTTATTTTAAGTGCAAGAGAATATAAATTGAATTTTTCAATAAAAAATAAGAAAAAATATTAATAAAAATCAAAAATAATTCTATGTACAAAAAATCTTAAAAAGATCTGAAAGATTTAATGAAAATAAATATAAATCCAATTAAAATTAAAATGAATGATCAATTTTCATAAAAGCATATATTTTTTATATATATAAAAAATTCTTATAATAATGGTTGGAGTTTGTAATTGACTTTTCTTTTGGTAGAATTTGAAAGAGCAGTTAGTGAAGACGATCTATCGATTCCACTTAGCCATCGGTTGCTGGCTGCCGAAGTAATTGCATCCAGTATTGATGAAGGAGGACACTAAGTGAATCTGAAAAGTAATTTAATAAATGGCCGAAACGAGCCAAAGTTTGCTCGAGTTCTCAAAAAAAAGGTAATGCATCTCGAAGGAGACAGGAAGCGAATTACAACTAGGGAAGTTGATGTAGTTTAATGCAAACTTCAATTGATTAATAGAGAAAGTTATCTATTACAATATTGTATTGAATACGAATATATTTATACCAAATTCTTAATTTGTGATGAGTTTTTAGAAACAATTGTAGATTTCATATTTTTTATGTTATTTGACTAAAATTATTGTGTTAAACGTTCTTTTTTCAGTTCATGAAGTAAAAAGACAATTTTGAAATTAGAACTTTATATTGAAAACTTTATAATATAAATATAAAATAATATACACAAATGTATATATTTAAACAATATATAAATTTAAAACATATTGTTTTTGGTATTAATTTTAGATTACGTTAATTAGTTACAAATGATTAAAAAGACATAAATTCAGATTATCCAGAAAATAAGTTCCTATGTCAGACTAAATGTAAATCATTAGTAGAAAAACCATTTTTAACATTTAAACATAATAAAACCTTTCAAAGTTATATTTTGTGTTGGTTAAAATATTAGATTCTATACTTGAATTCTTGTTTTATCTAAAATATCTATGTTCAGAAGTAGTACAAAGCAAAGTTATAAGATTTTAACTTAATTTTTTTGTCAAATTTCTAAGTAAACCTAAAAAGTATACAAAAAACTACAATGTTAAATTTGTTATTAAGTTTGTTAACTTACAAATACTTTTTTCTAATCTTTAACTAAACGAAACAAAAATGTACAAAAAACTTCGCAGTCTTCGAGAATAATACCTGTGTTATGTAAAAGTTGAATAACACGATTTCAGGAATACAAAGCATTGCAATTTACATGGCCTTTCCAATATACACACACAACGTTGAGCAATTTCGCGTGATTTTCCTCTGATTTGTTGGTTCGCTTCTTGAGATGGCGATGACAAAGTCATCCAATTCGTTTCGGTAAACATCAAAAGAAGCGTCTGCACGGTTGTAACGAGTCGCAGCAAATCAAATAAATTCCAGATAAGTTGTTTTATTTTTCGCATTCGAAAGAAAAAAGAACCTTAGTTGCTGCTGCTACAACTTCGAATATCGAATCGTATATCTTCCGTTTCACCTGAAGGGCTCAGAAGATTGCGTTATGCGAAACAGTTTCCACGATCCCATCACGAATACACGGTGTGAGTTGTATATGATGAGAAGGGCATCAATCATCGTTGGGTCCTATTTCTTACACGTACCGATAAAAAATATGAAGCAGCAAATATTTAAACAAAAAACGATAAATATCTGTGTGTGCGTTTCATGGATGTGTAGAGTTGTTGTTGGTTCATTATCCAAAATCTATATACAAAAATCAATAATTATGTTTGAAATTATAGATTTTGGGAATCTAGGAACCGTAACATTATTTGTATTTTTTTTAGATATTTTAACCAAAATAAATATTATATATATTTGTGTATAATTACAGCTTCAATTCATTACATTCATAAAGATCCTTTCATTGCAATAGAATATTTAGGTATTGTATAAAACATGGGGCACTTTTAAAAATTTTCAATAAAAATTTACTAAATTTAAAATTTTATTTAAAAAAAAACATATTTTATTTGCCCATTGTATGGGGGTTGTACGTTATTTTATTTCTATAAAGGTGCAACCACACCACATTTAAGAACTCATTTTTTTTTTGTAAATATGATGTGATTGTACCTAAATTTAACATTACTTTTATAACTTAAGTTATAATTACTATTTATACAATAATAACTCGAACAGTCCGGATTCACTATAATTCTGTTTGAAAATGTCAAAAAAACTAATTATTAATTGAGCAAATTGAAATAAATTCAAAAAAATAGTACACAAAATTATTTGTTATATTTCGGTCACTTTTTGTGCAATTTTAAAATCCTCAATTAGTACGGTTTTAAACTTGATATTCACGGAATTTGACTATATGACATATTACTGTATTATCTTATCAGATATATTAAAGTTACTAACTAATTACTAAATAATTAAATTTTATTAAAATAATTCATTCATATTAAAAAAGAACAACTTAATAATGACATAGTTGTTCATGTTTTTGCAAATATCAATCGTGAAATTCGTAATCGTATTACTTGTGTGCGTGGGTTTCACTTTTCTTCGTCCACAGTTTCTGTGGGTGTTTAATGCACTGCCTACTCCTACGCTCTTGTAGGAGATGAAACTGCGGTCTCGAAAGCTCATTGACTGAGTAAATTTGCATTTGTACTTTGAGTTATGTTCAGAGCCCTTCTGCATCAGGGAAGGATAAATCCTCGAGCTTGTGCAATTACCATACATAACTGGGCATGCAGCCGGTGGACATATCCTATTTCCTGAAGCGAAAAGGGATTCACGAATTAGTCGGATTTCTCCGCATTGAAAGGATCTAACAAGGATTCGAAATGGGAAGGAACAATGTTTGCAATGTAATGGATTGAATGCTGTGGCATATTAGCGCCATAGTGCTGCGGTGTTGCTGCACGTTGTGCGTACCTTATTTTTGTTGGGATGTTCTTGGTTGAGATGTTGACTGATTGTTCTTGTGTTGCCGCTTCCCAGTGGAGCTGCTGTGGGAGACCTCCCTGCGTGAGTACCACGACATCTTGGGTCGTTTGGTGTCTACCCTTTATTTACGTTTTTTTTTGTATTTTCTTTCGTTATCTTTTAATTAATCTTTTAATTATATTTTTTTCAACGTAACTTTGTGTATTTAAGCTTGATCTTTTGACTTTTCACACTACAAGAACATCTACACTAAACACAACCACACAACACTATTACTTCTTTAGTTATATAGCAAAAAATTACAAAAAACGAATATTAGAAATACATATAAAAACATTATTCAAAGCTGTAATTCTATTAACATACTCATACATTTTAGAAAACTTAATAAAATCTAAGTTATTTTTTTTAATACATAAAAACAATAGTTCTAATAGCAAATTTTATAATATAAACATGCAACCACAATTGGCATGAAATAAAACATAAAGGACAGTCAAGTATACTTTTAGTTATCACTGAAATTCATGTAGGAATTATCACAAAATCTGTCCTTATTTTAATTGTAATGATTCACTAGGTAAAGAAATTAACTGCATTGCAGAAACACTTTCTCTTTGCAATATTTTTAATTGTTATTGTGTTTTTTAAGATAATTGGAAAATAAATTACTTCCAGTTTTAAATTTAGTTACAAATCAAATTCATTCATTTATTACAAAGTAAAACAAAATAAATACATTTGGATAATTCTAATTATTGCAAAATGTTATCAACATTTTACCATATATACATATAAAAAATATTTTTGTAGTTAATTAAACAAATAAAAAATATGGTAATTACTTTAAAGCTTGAACATTTTTTAGAATTAATTTAATTAAATTTAATAATTATATAATAATTTAACAAAACAGTTTTTTGTGAAGTTAAATTTTTATTTTTCATGCATAAAATATAACAGTTTTAATTAAAATTTTTGAGATTTGTATTAAAACATTTCTTTTTATAAGTAATAATCAGTACAATAATCATAACTTTTTGTTATACGATTCATACTGAAATGATTTCCCTGAGGTTACAAAAAGCATTTAATCAATAGAGCTGTGATATAAAAAGAAAAAGGAACGAAGAAAAAGCTGATTTTTCTATTCTTAGATGTAGAACAAAGAAGAAATATACAGACAATTAATCATTTTATCGCGGTCTCGATGAAATGACATAACCAGCCTTGGTTTGATAGCAAGAAAACCTTTGACGAAACATTAATAGAACTTTAAGTGAATCAAATTATTGTGTTTTTTTATTTGTATTTTTTACATGTTACAGATGTTTGGAATATGTAAGCTGGTTGCGAATTATTTACATTCGGTTTCCTTTTGGATGTGATTTATAACCTTCATTGTTTGCTCATTGCATCCAAAATAGTCGCTTTGAACGTTACGCCAAAAACAAAGTATAGTTTTCTATATGCGTTTTAAAATTTCTCATGAAATTTTGTTAATTTTCTCTAAAAATTATTACATCACATATTCACGTCATTTTTTTTGTATATTTTGAGTATTTCACTAATATTTATTATTAAATTTTATTTCATGAAACTTTACTTTATTAAAAAAATAATTAGAATTATTTTATTTATTCTATTTATAATAATACTTCATTTGCTATTTTACACTTAATTTTTTTCTCACAAAAATTATATAATTTAAATAAAATTTGTGAAATATTAACAATATTAGAAAGAAACAAACAAAACTTGTTTAATAAATTTACTATATTTTTTCTAGTGGATGTGGAAATATTGCCTCGGAACGGGCGTTACGTAATAGAGCTTTAAAAATGAGTGACACACATGGAAAAAGCTCTTACAGCGATGAACATTTTATAGTATAAATCTCGGCAATATATCTCCTGCAATTCATCATGAATATATATAATATATGTGCGTTCGCAATGTCTATTTTTGTCGTTGCTATATGACAACATATTAAGTTAAGGAAAAAGCTTTGAACAATGTTAAATGGTGTATATTAATAATACAAGAAATATACGTATTTAGAGCAGTATTTTTACTCATAGTTTCAGACCAATTTATTTCTATATTTATAATAATTTGGATTAATGGTATAGTTTTAGTTCAATAATATACTTAAGTTTTGTTAGTTTCATATGAAATATTAATTAGGATATCAAAAATTCATTACAAAAAAAAAAAAGTAAAATATAATATATAGACGTTGAATTAACATATACAACAATACCTCGCATAGTGCGTCATCGGATTAGCTATAGTCCGGTTTAAAAATTTCAAAACAATATGTATAAAAGATGCGGTTTAAAAGACCAATAGCTTGGTTTCAAACAGTCCGTTATATTGGTGGAACCGCACTATGCAAGGTTACAAATACAACTTACACATATAATATAGAGTAGTTAAAACTAAATAATTACTAGAAAATAACAAGTTTTATTTTCAATCAGATAGTTCTTTTATTAGGAAGATTAGGAATTACAATTACACTAAAGACATTGGATGTTTGCTATTATTTAGTTTATTTTAATTACTTTAGTGTGATCAATTTTGTAGATAGAAGCTTCACTAAACTTGTGTTCGTTGCATCATCTTAAGGGTCTTTGTGCGGTGCTCTCGATGTTACGTAACTGTTTGTGCGTTCACTTGGCCTAGTTAGTTAGGTAGTGCAAATGCATGAGTTTCTTCGTTTTAGTTCGAGGCTTTTGTGCGATTCCTGAACCTATTTTAATGGATGCCCTTGCCTTTTGCCTTCTGCGTCGATAAAACATTCTTCACAGAGCTTCAGCTTTTTGCCACCTCTCGTGCATTCGATTCCAAGCCTGAAAATGCTAATTTAAAAACATACATAATAATTAATTAAATAAATAAATGAAAAACAGAATACAAAACCAATAAATTATAATATTTCGTATACAAATTTATTTTATAAATGTAACTTTCACACAACTTTTCACAATTAAAAAAAAATCACAATCTATAGTCATTTTATTATTATTTTTTTTGTATTAGTCAATTTCATTTCTAATGAATATTTAGAAACTTCTAATCAACTATATTTTTATTTATATTTAAACATTGATTGAATAATTTATTTTTTTCAAATGGAAAGTGTATAAAAACTGAATTAAATGTGCAGGTATTTAGTAATGAATCTACAGAATTGATGTAATAATTTACGTTGCATTGAAATTAATATTATTTTAATTAAATGCGTTTCATAAATTACATTTGAAGTAATTGAAAATTTATTTTCATTACAAATTATGAGAAGTAATTATTTGATTTATTACATGAAAATAATGAAACTTTTGTTATCGACATAAAAAAAGCAAAGATAATAATTTCGAGAATTTAAATTTAATTAAAAGCAATTTTTTACTTTATGTTATTATTGACAAGTAAGTAATATTTGGCAACTTGTAAAAGTTCTTCTAGTTTATATTTCATACAAATTATTGTAATACTTGTAAAAATAGAAGTACAAGTAGCATTACATGTTAAATAATTTATGATATATTATTTGGCTAATAATTTTTAAAGTACTTTTTAATGAAATGGTTTCCAAATATTCTAGTCTTGAACTTCTGTCATTTGAGTTGCTCAAGTTTCACTTGTTTCTACACGCAATGTTAAGTATTAAGTAATATACTTGGCAAGTAATTTATTAAATATTAAAAATCGCAAATAAAAAGTTATACAAGTATTTTGGATGGTCAGTCCTAATGTCTGAAACTTCTACAATTTAAGAAAGTTTGCAAGTAGTTTACACGTAATATGCAATACATGTAACTTACTTTACGCAACACACGTAATCTCTTAATTACTGATTAACAAAATGTTGTGTAGGTAAAAAATAATAAATAACTATAACTAAGTTATATGGAAATAGATATTTGTAAAAGGTATTCCTGTTATTGAAACATATTTATTCAATATTTGTTTATTTTTACAATGTTATAAACTTTGTCTAAACATTAGGAAATTGGTAAACGTAATTATTTTAAATAAACGAAAACTAATTTGTAAATGGTCGTTTTGATTATCTGTTGAAGATGACTGCTATAAAAAATATTTTTAGATGTGATTCAAAATGGAGTTGTGTGAAAGATGAACATTGGTATACTAATTCTAAAGTTAACTATAAATATAATTTTATTGGTTTTGGATGAGACGTTTAATCTATAGTCCCGACTTATTTTTGAACCACGAAAATAACGTGAATAGTGTTTTCACGATTCGCTAGAGAAAGAATTCACACCCTTCACTGAAACCCTTTTTTTTAACTATTTCTATCTTTATTTTTGTTAAACTGTTTCTATTTTTTTTATTATGTTTTCGATTGCATTGATGAAGTCTAATCATGTTTCTTGTTTAGTTGTGTTCATGAGTACATGGATGTGTACTCGGAGGTTGTGAGTCCTGACGCCGGAGACCTCATCAACTCGCCGTTCGGAGGACGTTATTGCGGGCCGATACCGCCGCGACGCCGTGTCTCGTTATACCGCGCCATCACCCTAGCCTTCTATACCGACAAGAACGCCTCCACGAGCGACCTCTTCACCGGCAGATATTCCTTTATTAATGACTGTGAGTCCTTCGCCGCAGGATAACGCTATTAATCATTCCACCCAAAAACGCATCAACGTCTCCACCAAACCTATTCCTCTCACCTCCTCTTCTCTTTCTTCCCAGGCTTTTCGATTGTTTCTCGTGAGGGAATGGAAGTATTCGATTTTATTAATCTTTTTTCTTATGTTCGCAGCGGAATATGAAGTGGGTGCACCGGTAGCGAACACCCAGTGCAGTTTTTTGGTGAAGGGCGCGGTCAAACCGACCGGCGTCATCCTTTCTCCGACCTATCCTGGCGCATATCCAAAGGCTCTCGTCTGCTCCTACCAGTTCCTAGGCATCCAAGGGCAGCGAGTGCGACTCGAGTTCAGGGACTTCGATCTCTTTTTTGGCGGACCTCAGTAAGTCGACACACACATAATTTATGCCCTTCACAGGATCACTGCTACAAACAGATATTTTTTTTATTCTAATAAATCATACAATAATTTCATACAATATTAATTGTATTCAAGACAATTTAATTTCGTATTAATTAAACAATTAAACAAAATATATACTTATAGTAAGATTGAAATAATAGATTAAACTATACAATTTCTTCTAATTTTCCAAAAAAATAAATAATTTTAAACCATTTCATTTACAGTTATGTAATTTGATTACGTTTTTACTAATTACTTCAACATAATTTATTTTAACTTAAAAATATTTAGCTCAAACAAAAAAAAAACTTCATTAAATTGTTGTATTTGCGTTTTTTTTTTCCTAAAAACTATGAAAAGTTTATAAATAATTTTTAATTAAACAATTCATTCATAAATCATTGTAATTGGTTACAATTAAACACAAAACATACACACATACATTTTATAAAAAGTAATAAAATCATTTGTTAAAGTAATAATTAATAATATTTTCTTAAAGAATTTACAATTTGCATGAATAAAATTGATATAAATTTTACATAATTAAATTTGTGATAATTAATTTTATATTTCGAATAAAAAAAGTTTAAATATTCGAAATATATATTGAAAAATACGCAATAAGCAATAATTCTACTATAAAAAAGCTTTCATATTAAAATGCATTCACGTTGAATTCAAGTTGCCATCATTCCTTCCAAGAAAAATCCATCACTTCTCGTCCACTCCACTTAACATGTAGACTTCCGCCTGATGCAACCACTCGTCCGATTTTCTTCCCACCGCCTCCGATTTCCGCAGAAGTCATTCATCCTCTATTTATTGTAATTCTGCAGCTGCAGCTGAAAGGAATTTATGCCCCTGCAATCCTCCTTATAAATATTTCGGATTTATTTAAAATCCTCCATCTATTTATATACCACATTCAATCACATCAATCCTTATTTTACTCTTAACTTCTTACAGTTTTGTTCAATTCTTTCACGCAATTCAGCTTTTCTCATACAATTGTCTATACATTTTTTATTTGTGCTGATTTAATAGAAAGACTAGATTTAAAATATGATTGTAATTAATGTCATTATCCTTTTTCTTTTCGCTTATTTTAATTTAAAATTGTCTACTTCGTAATCCCAGTTTTTTTTTTAATCGATAACTCGTTAATATTTCCGTCTCTCAAATACAATTTCCTCCCCATAAATCTGATTTGCTTTAATGGAAAGACTAGATATGAAATATAATAATTTAAGGGAAAGTCTGGATTTCGAATATAATCAGAATATAATGTAGACCATTTAAAAAATTATTTTTAGATAATAATTTTATAGAATTTTTCTTTATTTATTTTTAAATTAATATTTAATTATTTTTTTGTGTAATTAATCTTCAAGATAGAAATGGTCTTATTTTTTGTTGTTTTGTGGTTTCAACATAAAAGCTTACATAGTAAACGTTAATAATTACTTAATGTGTACATAGTAAAAATGAAATGATATGGAGGGAATATGTTAATATACTGATCGTAAATTTGATATAAAGCACTTTCTGTGAACATTAAAAAGGTACTGAAGAAATATCTGATGAACACGCAACATCACTGTAACAACCACGCGTGAAAGCTACAATTTTGATAAATTACATAATCGTTGTGTTTCTTTGGATTTTTATTGAAGCTGCCCCTTTGATTACGTGAAAGTGTACGATGGCTCGGACAATTCTTCGGCTGTGATCGGCACTTACTGCGGCCAACAACGTAACCTCGTGCTCTACTCGTCGGAGTCGTCGCTCCTCGTTACCTTCGTCACCCTCCCACGCACTGCCAATACTCAAAATAGGGGATTCAAAGGTATCTTCGAGTTCTCGAATTCATTTACCAAGTTAGGTGAGTATCTAAGGGTTTTATTATCCATCGAATACATTGCATTAAATATGTACATTATATGAATATCATCAAATCTTTTAGACTTTATAAGAAAAAACGAAGGGGTACACATCCGCGGGTCGGAGTGCGATCAAAAGATACTTTCGAAAAAGGAGTCCAGCGGCTCCGTATTTAGTCCAAACTATCCATTTCCGTACATACCGAAGCTTGTTTGTCGTTATTTCATATACGGCATGCAGGATTCACAGCACCTCGAACGGGTTCGTCTCGAATTCTCACGTTTCGAGATTCCCAAAGGACCTAAGGGAGAGTAAGTCAATTTTCAACTATATAATATTATTCAATCATTATTATAATATCGTCATTTTTGAGTAGATATCAAATTTTATTAACATATGATCACTTATTAGACATAGTGTGGGTATACCATTATTTGTATTTTTTTAAATAATTGAAACCTGATAAAGACAAAATGTTAATTATGAAACATATTTCTAATTAATAATAAGTAATTTATCGACTTACGACTAACTCAATTTACGATGTAAAAATGAAGTCATACATATACTATATAGTTTATAATGGCATAAATCCAAAATAGTTGTACGTCGTAAGTCTAAATTATATCACATGTTGCAAAATTGAGTTCGTAAGTCGAGAATTAACTAAAATAGTGACTGGAAGTTAAATTATTACTACTAATAAATTCGAAATTGACAAATATTAACTTTTTTATCGATACAAATATTTTTGTTTGGAAAATATAATGTAATTATTGTTTGTAAAGATTATTAATTATTGATTATTTGACAGTTGCTCGGATGGTTATTTAAAAATTTATACGAAAGGCCAAGAAACGACGGACTCGTACGACAAATTCGATCACGAGATGTGCGGAGGTACGAGCAAACCACCGGTGATCGTATCCGAAGGTCCTCGGATGGTTTTAGTTTTTAGCAGTGGCGACCTAATGGGTAAAGGATTCAAGGCCAACTATACGTTCGAAACGGGTAAGGCCTTTGCCGGTTCACACGTAATCGCAGAACGTCGATGGTAATTCGATGAATTTCAGAGTACCGGATTCCTGGTACCGCCGCTCCGGACGGCAGTTGCACGTTCACCTACATGAGCGAAAGCAAGAAACGCGGGGAATTTAATTCGCCCAGGTATCCTTCCAACTATCCGAGCGATACCAATTGTACATACAATTTCATGGCCACCAAGAACGAGCAGGTCACGCTGATCTTCGATAACTTCAAAGTGCGCGCCGATTTGGCCAACTCCTCTATTGGCTCCTATGGGTAAAATATAGTTAATTGTTACAGTTTCAAAGATTTATACTGTTTATCGTTTGCAGAGCTACTGTTTGTCAAGAGGATTGGCTGGAGATATACAACGTATACCATGATGGAGTTGAGAAGATCGTAGGCCGGTACTGCGGGATGACAGCTCCAGGTCCGATTGAGTCCAATCTGGGCGCGATGGGTCTGAAGATCGTCCTTCATGCGGATTCTGAGGGCGTGTACAGCGGCTTCAAGGCACGGTATAACTTCGAGAAGTCCAAATCGATATTCGGCAATTGCGGCAGCAACATCAGCAGCCTCGACTACGGCATCATCAGCAGCCCTAAGTACCCGAAGAAGTACGACGGACCGGAGAAGGGCTCCTCGGCGAAAACGTGCAATTGGTATATCAACGTTAGGCCTAAGTACAAGATCTTGCTAGACTTCGAAACCTTTGCGGTCGAGGGCGAACCAATCGGTACGTACTGGATTTATTCCTACGTAAGTATAAAGTGGTTATTGATTGAGGATTGCGCCCTTTTAGGTAGGGGATGTCCCGCGGCTGTTCTGAGGCTTTGGACGAACATGGCAGGATCACCCATCGAGCTCTGCGGAGAGAAAGGCGTCGATGACAAATGGCAATATCTCTCAGACTCAAACTCAATACGCTTCAGGTACACTTTGCAATTATCCATTCCAACCTACTTAACATACACAGATACTTCTCTCCAAATCTTTTTCCAAGCGATTTAACAAAATCGTACTTTATATTCATTCATTTTCTGTTAATATTATAATAAAACTGCAAGAAAATAATATCAATTCTATATAAATTTACATCATAAACTACTGCTTATCATTACATAACAATTCCTTAAGTAAAAATATTTATAATATGTTTTTTTTTCTCTGAATCATGCAATTCTGGGTAATTAATAAATTTGATTCCAATTTACAGTTGATTTAGGTTAATGTTATTTCAGTTTAATAATTCTGTATTTGGACTACAAACATTTTACGTTACATGCAATATACATTGTATTTCAAATGCAATTTCCCTATAATTTAGCAATTCTATTCATTACAGAGGTGTATGCAATCTCCGAATCAACAATGTGCCCCACGTTGGGCTCCAAATATTGTTTCCCAATAATTGTTGTATAACTAATTTCCACTTGTGTTTGCATTTGAATTTACAGTTTCATAACGGCAGATAAAGCGGTCGGTGCACAAGGATTCAGGGTAGTGTGGACGGAGGTGCAGGAAGGTCCTAGTTGCGATGAGTTCCAATGCGTGAAGAGCGGTTTCTGTATTCCTGAGAAGCTGCGCTGCAATTCGGTTAACAATTGCGGGGCAGATGACAACTCCGACGAGGCCGACTGTGAGTGACACAATGGTTACTATTTTACAAAACTACTTAAGAATGTAATTTTATTTAACTTAAAGTATACATAAAGTACTTCTACTATTTCTCGTTCTCTCTATCTTTCTACTAAGTTATTACATTCAGCTTATATAAGCAAGGACAGAATATAGTTATTAATGATTATTTCAAAAGAAAGTAGTCCTACTACTTCCATTGGTGTATTATCATTTTTCTTTCGTAGGCGACTTTTCTCTTTTTGACTGTGGAACTGCTGCATGGGTGGTTTTCATCCTGTATTATTATTTCACATTCTTCTATTAATATATACGCTTAGTAATTTTACTGTTTGATTTTAATAGAAGTATACTGGACTACTTACGTTAATTTCCATTGATCCATTATTTTTTTGGTTCCTTTTTTTCTGTATATAGTTTATACTGCTCCGATCCATAAATATATAAAGCAGGTCATAGAGGCATCATCCGTAACATGCATTTATCAATTTATAAACCAAATAAGCTTCGAGCAAATTGACAAAATATACTAAAAAAAAACTAAAAATAAGTAGATTTAACTTGATAAAAGTTTTATTTAAATTGAAGGCAATAAGTATTGAATTTGGCAGATGGATAATTAATATTTTATGTATTCGAAACTAGGTTGTATATATCTATATATACATTTATGTGATGGTATATTAATTTTATGTCCATTATATCAGTTCAATGGATAAATGTGGATGGATATATGCATCATACGAGGGAGAGAGGATATTCAATTCCACACCATTCTATTCCGGTTTAGAGTCTAAATATAATTTCAAATAACCTATTCCATTCGAACTATTGATTTTATTACATCGAAAGTGACGTTTAAGTGTCAATTAAAATCTAGATTAAACTATTACGTTACGTTTTCTATTTTGTACTGGAAATACTCATACCGTATCCTTGAATATATTTCAATATAATTTCATATTTGTCAAAAACCAACGAGTGCGTTTGTCAATTGAAATGACATGTGTGTACCAAAAATATGCTTTCTTTCGGTATGATTTTTTTTTTCATATTATATACGCAATTTGTATAGGTATTAACTACGTCGAGTATTTTCATACGAATGAAAAGACATGTGTTACATTATTACATTGCGTGCGGAAATTTGTTAACTGAATACAGATTGCATTTTCATTGCCTTTATTTATGAAATACGTATAGTTTTGGGAATCCCTCGTTATAGTTTATCAATGGAATTCGATCTAAATAAATTTATTTGGTATAAACTATTTTGAATTGGTAAAATAGTTTAACAATAGTTTCGATGATCCTTGGAGAGTTAATGGGTTTATATAAGCAAATTTACATATTTATGGATCGGCAAGGCTATGTAATGTATAAGTTGGTTGGTTGGTATCTAGTGGTGGTGGCAGGGTGTTAATTTGTTCAGGTGGGTCGCGTGCGTCTGTCCGAACTGCAACCCCCGTCCTTCTCCTGCCACCACTGTTTTTGGCGGCGCTGCTGATGTTGCTGGCGTGATGCCCCCCAGAACAGCATGCTTCTCTCACGGTCACGTGAGTCTTTCTACTTTCTCATCATGTCAAACCACATTCGCAAACCAAAAAAATATAAATGACGAAACCAAAACGAGCATAAATTCATCAAAAAAAAAACAAACAAATTGTTCACGACTATCAACAAACCATCGACAACATACATTATCTTCATATCCTCCTCTATCTGTCTGTTTGTTTCTCTTTCTATGTGTATCATCATTGTCACCATGCACGCTCTTCACATAATGCATCTAACTTTAGTTTCTTTCTTTTCTTTACGTTTCGTTTCTTTATTATTTCTGTTCTGTTCTGTTCTTATCATTTTGTGACAACCTAATTATTGATTTCATCGAATACATAATTTATCAAAGTATATCAAAGAATGATTGTTGTATGTGTATTTGATAAATATGTTCATTATATTTTTATGGTATTCGTTGATAAATTGATTTACCCTTTGACCGAATTAATCATATAGATTTAATGTGTCTTGTTAATAGTTTGACATGAAAAGTTAACTTGTAACTTATAACAAAGCCAATATGATTACCGAAATTAATTTTGATAATAATACCGGTAATTTCAGAAAAGTGCACATTTTACTAATTATAACTAAAATCCGACGACTGGAAAATTATTTCCACAAATCTTCTAATAATCTTCTATAGTACGTCAAAAATAACCTGTATATTTTCATTGATGATTGTTAATGTATAAAACTTGTATTAAAACTTAATAGGTTATTGTTAATTGCCCTTTTATACAAAACATTTTCAAGTAAAAAAATCATCAGTAATTTACCGGTTAATCCAGTGGTTCCCAACCTATTTTGTTCACCACATGGCTTTCTAAATTTCTTCAGTCCCCTCTATAACATATACATAAAACTTTAGATTTATCCATTTTATAATTGTCCTCCTATGTGGCCCAAGTTGAGAAAAATTGGATTAACCGGTTTTTACTAAAATTATTTACCGGTAAACAAAAATCAAAATAAATTTGGATGGCCTTATAACTTACGTTATTCCAATATTAATATGATATAGTAAAATGTCCTTACAAGTTAACTTAAGTAACAAACTAAATGTTATATCATTACATCATCATTATCGGTTAAAGGGTTACAGGACCAATGTTGACTGATTGTAAAGATCATTTCGGTCTATCTCTTGATAATGTACGTTAGTAAACTAATGTTTGTACTTTGTAACAGGTTTCGTGGAGGAACCTCCGGAGGACTACACAGTGCTGATGGCGAGCGGCGTCGCGGCGCTGTGCATCCTGCTGCTGGTGCTCTGCATCCTCTGCCACAGGAAACGGCGCCGACGTCGACGCGGCGGACTCCACCGACCCTTCCAGCTGCCCGTCCCCGCGGGCTCGTCTCGCCATCCACCACAGCACGACCTTGGCGAACGCTTCGCAAGCGTGGACAGCGTCTGATGGTTATTATCCTGTGCCACCGCCGCCGCCAGCAATACACACCACCAGCTATATCCTTTGGATGCACGCGATTTGATCGGTTCCCAACGTCAGCAAAACGAGAGGACGAAACCAAAAAAGGATCGTACAAACAACACCACACAACGTTGTTGTCTACTGTTCCCTTGGTCGAGCACGAACAACGCATTCGGTATATCCAATAACGGAGAATGGCCTACGTATGAACAATAAGAAAGGACACCTCGAGGAGAACGATGGAAATTATATAAAGCGAAACATTGCCCGATTTTTTATACGAATGGAGATAGAAGAAGAGGAGAAAAAAAAAGCATTAACCAATTACGTAATAATAGATAGCACTTATTTGTACAGTAAGAATCGACTTCCAACTCGCGTCTATCTCTCTATCACACACACACACTCAGTTCACATGTTTTAATTAAAATATGAATATAAATTAAACAGCCCCGATTGTTACGAGGATGAAAACGTTACGAACAGAAAGAATTGAATGATGAAGGAGAAGAATTATTTAAAAAAATAATACTAATAATAAAAAAAACCAGAGACAATCTCAAACCAATCTTCCATGTAGTGAAGTAATGTTATGTAAATAAGCGAGACTATTCGAATTTAGCAAATTGTTTAAGTTTAATCATATCAGAATCACTTGACTATTCCCCCTCCTTATATTATTGTTGAACGATGCAATGATGACTATAGGAAGCAGAACACAGGAAGTCGGAAGTTGGTTAATTTCCAGATGAGGTTTTACACTATATCAAAAGTACAATAAATCAAGGCGAGGATTCCTTTTTGGCACGTCGGTTTTTGGACAATCATTCATCGCCTCGGTATTGCTGACGGTCGGCCGGTAACGGAGCTCATGGGAATATTTAGAAGAGATCGAGGAGAAGCAGGAAGAAAGAGAGAGAAAGAGAAGTATCCAGAAGCACCTCCGCAGAAGCCATCACACCCCAACACCACAACCACCAAACCAACAGAAACACCATCATCTTCCCCCCCTTAAAGAAGGATGCTCATTACATCTTAGATCGAAACTGTGCGTGAAGTCAATAAGTTGTATCTAAACGCCCGAACGGAACGGAACAATTGTGGACGCAGTTCGTCAGGCTCAAAGGGGGGAATTTTATATTAATGAAAATATATATTAAACAATAAATAGCGATTAACGGTGAATAATAAAAAAAAATATATAAGAGAAGAAGAAAACGAGGAAATAACGTAAAGAAAAATAAATATATATATACCCACCTATATATATATATATTAAAAATTAAAATAAAACGTATTTAAACAAAACAAAAAAAATATATATTAATAAAAAGTAAACTAAAAACATAATAAATCACGTGGAATTTTTAATAAATGTTAGTGTGCGATGTAAACGCGAGATGTAGTTGGACGAGGTGTTACGTAAACGGAACACAGCAGTTAGATGAAGAAGTGTTTTCTTTTTTTTGTTTCGGGTGATCACAGCGAAGCGGAGAGAGATTTTTTTTTGTAATAATAGCCAAGTGTTTCACTGCCTCGAAAATTGAGGAGAGATATATAAAAAAAAAATTGTTTTTTTGGGGGATGAATGAGTTAATAAAAAAAATGATATTCATTAATGTAAATCGCGTCGATAGAGAAGAAAAAAAATATTTAAAAAAAAGAAAATTCACACGAGGATTTTGTTTTTTTTTATATAAAGGAAATTATATAAATACGAACATAATACAAATGGAAACCCAAGAGCAAAATATAAGAAACGCAATAAATGATATAGTATATAGTATTTTGCACCAGCGCACAACAAATTGGTAATAAAAAAAGGTATTAAGAAGTATAAAAAAAAGAATAAATAACCGTAACGGAAGTGAAAGAGAATATTTTTTTTTGAAAATAAAACGCAATGTGAGGAAAGGGAGCGAACCAGTTCATAATTTTTCATCTCAAATCAATATGTCCTATCGACGTTTGTTTTTTGGTGCTCTAGAATATATAAAAAATATATATATAAATAAATAAATATGAGAAGAGGATGAAAGAAAAAAGAAAATAATGAAGAAGTAATAATATTAATGATAATTAATTTATTTTTACAACGAATTATTCAAATCTTCCTATACATAGAACATACACACACATACACAAATTGTTACATTCGGTTTCCTTTTGAATAATTTGTTAATGAAAACTTATTATGTTTACAATTTAAAACAAAAAAAAATATGATGTAAAGCGGTGACAGTGCGATGGAATTCACTTTTCAATTGTGTTCATTTGATGTTTTTTTTTTCTGTGTGCGATGAAATTGTTTATTTATTGAAGCCTAAACGAAGTTATATAAACAAAAATAATAATAATACAAAACAAAGATTATGATTTGATTATGTAACGTAATTAATTAACAAAGAATATGATGATGTTGAAGAAGAGGAAACCCAACTGCCGAGTCGTGCCGTAAACAAAATAAATTAAATTATAAAGAAGAACGAAGATGGAAACCGTACTGTGGCCGTAAAAAGCGTTGGATCTTGTGGGAATATCGATGGATGGATGGACGGAACGAAGAGCTGCATTTTTTTTCTTGTATTCCTTCCTCCTTCGCCGCCTCATTGAAACGACGACGACGACGATGATGATGATGATGATGAAAAGAAGATAATGTTATGTGAATGGTATTGGTTTCGTTTTCTGTTCTATATGTATTTATGTTTCTTCCATTTGAGAGAACCACGGTTCTCGTTTTATTTATTCTCCATTACGTTCTTTGTACTCGTTGTTACTTGCTGACTGAATAGTGTATACAATCTAGTTGGAATGGTAATTGTTTTCCCCAATTGTTACTGACCGATGATGAATCTCTTCCGCGCCCCTTCAGTTATTTTGTCTTTTGAGCGATTTGACGAAGAAGCAAAGTGAACACGTTTAGATGAGGATATAAGAAAAAAAACCGTACCGTTAGTTATTATTATATAACTCTATCGAAGGAAAAAAAAATATAAATATATATGTATATGTGAAGAAGTGTGTTATACGCGTTCAATCCTGTAGGATTTCGCAGTACGAAAGATGAAGAAGTAAGGATAATATTGGAGATTGGGTATGAAGTACTTTGTGTAGCTGTCCGTCTGTTTCATTTTGGTATTCGATCTTTGTATTTTGTACACCTTGTGCTCAGATGAACTCAGAAATAACTCAAGTGCGATTACGTGAGACACCGAAAATTGATACATTTTAAACAATTCGATTTAATAAATTTTATTCATAAACGTTATTTCAAAATCACCTTCATTACATACAAATATCCACCAAAAAATCCAATATTTAATCCAAAAAAATTAAAAAAATATAAATTAATATTAGTTTTTTTATTAAATTTTTATTATTTTTAATGTAAGTAATTAAATTTTGTTTTTTTTTTTCAAATTATTCACAAACTTTTGTATTGAAACATATTACAATAGTTTAGATTGATTCATATTATGTTGTTATTAAATAATTCCATTTAGTATTAGGAAGATTAAGAAAAAAAAGAATCTCATGTTGAGATCTTTGATAAAAAAAGTAAATTTGTGAAGTTTTTTTTTATATGAATACATGAGCACAGAAGTACAGGTTATCGAGATAGAATTCGTAAAACCCAAAATTAGTTGTCCTAAATTTAATTTAAAAAAAAAATGTTAATGAATGATTCAATAGCTTAAATTTATTTGTTGTAATAAACTATGATTATTATATAAATGTAAACTAAATTCACTCATAATAATTAGAAGAAAATATGTGTAATGATAATATTAACTGGATTAATGTATAATTTTTGAAAATCTGTTGATAACTTTGAAAGTTTAATGTATAAAATTGTTTCTTTTTTCAAAGGTTGTGTGCGAAACTTGTTAAGTAATCTTGTCAAGTAAATGTATTTGGAAACTTAGGCTTTAATATAGATGTCACAAGTACTAGTATATTTGCTCACATAATACACAGTTGACGAATTTACTTGGCAAGTAACGCGTATCTAAATGTATCAATTTGTTTGTATCTTATGATAATTATGCGCTAAACTGATTCGAACTTGATGACCGTTCAAACTAAACGTTTTTTAAAAACACACAATTACTTCGATTTTTTTTATACGTGTAAGAAAGAAATAAAGAGAAAAAAATATAAACATTCCAACCATTTTTTAAATTTAAAAACTAATACTAATATATATATATAGATAAGACTTGTTTTTTCTCTGTCTAATTGATGATTCGATTCGAAACGAAACACGAGTTTTATATATCGCCAAAAGTCTTCCTGCTTACTAAAGAAAGAAACACCATAATTCCATTTATTGTTATATTTTCTACGATACATTAGCGAAGAGCAGTGATGTTGTCTCAGGAATACTAATTAAACAAGAAGAAAGATGGATTGAAGAGGAAAATAATAACGGTAAAAAAAATACGCTTATATAGGATTATAAAAATCGATTTCGCCATTTTTTTTTATATTTCATTTTGTAACTAATTGAAAATTTTTAATAAACTAAAAAAAATAATAAACAAAACAAATTAAATAATAAGTGAATATACATAAAATAAAAACGGAAATGATTATAAAAAATACAAACTTAAGCGGTTATTAAATTCGATTCAGTTTGCGAAAAACAAGAAAAAAAATTGTTGAGTCTAGTTCATCTGAGGAAAAAAAAATTGTTTTACCGATTCCAAAACAATTAATTTCGTACGAGAACAACGAAAAATAAAGAAACTTGTATCAGATGTGTATTGAATGTATAAGTTTAGCATTTTGCGTTCGTTTTAATGTATAAATAGTGAAAGAGCTTCCTTCTACAAATATTGTGCCCATAAAACGTCTGTTTTTTCAAATGATTAATTTTGTTTTTTTATACCAGAAAACGTTGTAATTAATAGCGGCGCCCCGAAAAAAAATTTATATGAGAGAAGCCGAATTAAATTTAAAAAAAAACTTGTAATTGTGTATAAAAAAAGTATATATATATATGAAAAAAAAAGTATATTATAATAATATTAATAATAAAACAAAAAATCAAGTATATAATTGTGTGTGTGTGGAGAAATGCAATGAGTTTTATATAGGAACGTTTTTCATTAGTGCCAAAGCAAGTGAAAACTAAAGTAACTAAAACTACAACTTTTATCATATGGAGAACACCAAAAACCGTTAAGTAATTAATAATAATTGTATTAATTAAAAGAATTTAATTAATAGAATTTAATTATAAAAAGGTAATTTAATTAAAAGAGAGAAAAAAACTTGGGTATCATTGCAGTTTTCCACAGAAAAAAATAAAATAAAAAAAAAATTAAAAAAGTAGGATAATTATTTATTTTCTTTCTTATTAGATTGGTGATATATCCTAATAACTGCAACGTTTTGCCTATGCGTAACGTTTTTGTTTAGTTGATTTGTTTGTCTTTTATTCGAAACACGCTCAAAGCCAAAATGTATTCTTGTTGTTGTTATATAATTATTTTTTCATTTTGTAATTTACTTTGGACACGTAAATATTGTTGTTAGGTTTCGATTCGGATGAGAGCAAACAAGAAAAAATAACATTGGATGAGGAAGAAGTTGGAGATTGCGAGGATGCCAATTGATTGATCACGAAGACGATGAAGAGGATGACTTAATAATAATAAGGAATAATAAATCAGAGAGAAGAAAATGAAAATGAAGACACACAATTGTTATTTAGAATAAAACATTATTTTTAAATATTAACCACTCGCGAATATAGAATTATTTATATATAAATATTTATATATATATTGTATGTATGTATTCATACATTTTATGCAGTTGTACCAGTAGTGAAAGGTGTTAGTCGATGATAAAACAAAGATATTTAAAAATGATGTTGTAATCTGGGCAACTTCCGGTTATCTTTCGCGAGATGGGATAACCGGAAGTTGAGGGATGAGATTTGGGTAAACGAACGAAATCTGAGCACCGCGCGGCTTCCATATAAATAAATTTAAAAAAAAATCCACGACACGTACAACTGCGTACGAAGCACTTTGTTAACAACTTGTAGTAAAAAAATTAATAAAAAAGAAACTATACCAAAAAAAAACAACATAATAATTAATACAAACAAACAAACAAGAATTAATGAAAAACTAAGAACGAACAAAAAAAAATGAAGCATACGAGACTGGACGACACTATTACGAAGATTACATGATAATGTGTGTGTGAATTCGGCTCAATTTGTGTTATATTATTGTTTACTTTTTCTCGTTTTGTTGCTGTTACCACTTTCAACTTGTCCCGATGTGAGGAAAAGAAATGATCCAAAAGGAACGATTACTTTTTTTGTCTTTTGGTCGGAGGATCCAATCGTTTCCATAAAAAAAAATTCTTCACTTTCCGAACTTAATCCTCCTTCCAAATCCTCTGACCTTCTGGACGTTACTCTTTACTTTATTGTTGTTGTTGTTTTCTTCCATCAACCACGAAGTACTACGATCGTATTTCCAAAGAAAATATGAAACATTCTCATCCACATGAATATGTTATTTGTTAATCTTAAAAGCTGTTAAGTACTGTTAAGATATATTTAAAAAAATGATGATTGGTCGCTAAAAAAAAGTAATAAGAAAAAAACTGTAATATATTGTATCAAAAAAAAAATATGCTCACACGGCGACTAGGACGAGTTTGGATAAAAAAAAATGGACAAAAAAAACATGAATAAAAAGGATAATGTACTCCACTTACCCCAACTATTAATCATCTGTTTCTTGCCATTATTTTTATTTTATGATTTCATTTTGGTTTTGTGAATCCATATTGAAGAGCAGTGATCGAAGTAACCTGTTTCATTTTTATTGTCATATTAAACCCCAGCCATTTCTTTCCAAATTTTGTTTTTTTATATACTTTTCTTTTACATTTTTAATCCATATACTACTTACTCAATCATTATAATTCATTGAATAACTAGTGTGTCGAAGAGTAATCACCGTATTGATTTTTTGAAACTAATTTTTATTGATGATGTTTGTCATTGATATTTGCAATTTTGTAAATAGATAAGATAACACAGGAAAACTGGAAAGTTTTATTAATTTGCTTGTTACTTTATATCTTTCTTAAAAAAAACAAAGAACAATTTTCAGTTGATATAATTTCTAAATTGAGAATTACTTAATTCAATTTTGAAGTATTTAAAAAACCCTTATTCCTGAAAAAAAATAATTTTAACTAATCTTTAGAAAAAGTTAAATAATAACATTTGCTACTAAATAAATCGATAATCTGTTTTTATAATATAAAATAAATAGGTAAGTATATTACAATATTTAAGAATGATTGAGATTTATAAAACTATTAGATATTTGTCAGTTTTCCCATTCCAATTCTATTTGAGTACTTAGGCAACCAAACATACAATGAGTATATATGTTCGATACTTCAAATTACAGTAAAGTGTCGATAATCCGTGGTAATTCGGTTGAAAAACACGGTTAATGTAAACATCGCTTTTAGTTGCTTTAAAAACTTGAATATCTATGTATTCATATTAAAAGGTAATCTGTAATTTTTGATTGATTTCCTTGTAAAATTATTTACTCAATGCATATTTGCAAAGACAATTTTATAAAATAAGTAAACACTAAGACGACCGCAACGACGGTTAACCCGAACCAGATACAGTAAGTCATATCCTGATCAAGAAGCCACGGAATCCCATCGAGAACGCCTCATTGTTTATGCCAATGTGTCTCATTGACACAATGGGTAAACGGCTCACACAACTAAACGACTCAAGGAGGAAATTGACAGATGCGGAGGTCTATCTGAAAGACAATACGGCTTCAGACAGGGCAGGTCCACTATCGACGCGATCCAAGCGGTGATCAACATAGCGAAGGAAGCAAGAGATGGTACTGGAAGCAACTGAAAGCTTTGCGTCATACTGACGTTGGACGTCAAAAATGCATTCAACGCGGTTAAATGGAAAACCATATTAGAGGAAGCAAGAAAAAAAAAGGAATTGCCACGTACCTGATAAAAAATAATTAAAAGTTATCTCAGCAAGCGCTCCATAAGGATCGCGAGCGAACAGGGAGAGAAACTAATGGAGGTAAACAGCGGAGTGCCTCAGGTTTAATGTTAGGGCCTAGGAAGAGCTGGCAAGAAGGGCAAATGTAGCTTTACGCAACAACGTGCAACAAAAGTGAATGGTGGAGAGAGTCCTGAACTTTGCTCCCGAAAAAACAGAAGCGGTTTTGTTGACGGGAAGAAGGAAACTGAGACAAATAAGATTTGAGGTCTCTGGGATAGTTATTCCATCAAATACTTGGGGGTGGTAGATAGCAGACTGTCCTCTGCCCAGCACATCAGAGCAGTGGTCATCAGAGCAGCAGAGGAAACTACTGCGGTAAGCAGACTGATGCTGAAGAACGGTGGCCAGAAGCCAAACAAGAAAAGGTTGCTTTGAGTAGTGGCGCAGCCTATAATGCTGTATGCTGCTCCAATATGGGAAGATGTGATGATGGTGCAGAGCTACAGAAGGGCAATAAGGGTCTGCAGCGCTTACAGAACAATCTCTCGAGATGTAGTTCCAATAATTGCTGGAATGCCACCAATCGAACTCCTAGCCTGAGAGAGATGTGAGAGGCAAAGAGGAGTGAGTAAGGAAACTGCAGGCCTAGACAGCTGGAAAAGTGGCAGGAAAAATGTGAGAGCTCAGAGAAGGGAGCCTGGACTAGACGTTTAATCCCAGAAGTAGGACCCTGGATTTCCAGAAAACACGGCGAGTCAACATTTCATCTGAAACAAGTGCTTTCCGGGCACGGGTGCTTCAGCAAGTATCTGCACTTTATAGTAAGGAAGGAGGACGAAAAGTGCTGGTACTACGAAGAAGACGATAGCCAAGAATATACGTTCTTTGGTTGCTGCAGATGGGCGACGATGAAGCACGAGACGGAATCAAATCTCGGAGAAGTGATGGCACCAGAGACGTTCATCGGTGAGTTGTTAAAGAGCCAAAAGAAGTGGTACATCATCACAGGCTACATAGCAGGGGTGCTCTCCATTAAGGGAAATTGACGAGCGGAGGATGGTGAGAGAAAGAGAAGAAAGTGATAGTGAACACACTCTGCATTGCAGAAGTATGTGAAAACACCGGACCTGAATGCTGATGAAACAGGGGAGAGGTACCACAGTACCACGACTTCACCCGTGGTCCCTATATAAGGTTTCCTCTCCTCTACAGTAAGTTAGTGGTTTCCAAATTTGATGTTACTACTGCATGTTAGTATTAAGTCATTTTAAATTAAATTTCGAAGTGTATAAGCAATATTACAGTAATCCCTCTTTAGCGCTTCCTCGAATAAAGCTGATTCGATATTACAAAAACTAAAAAGAGCTTTAAATTAACTATATGTTATATGAGGCTTCGTTTAACGCTGTTTTGTTTAGCACTGAAACTTATTGGAACGTTAAGCTGAGTCTTACTGTATGCATATAGGATACTAAAGTGTTTTCTTATAAATAAATAAATTATTCAATTAGTTTGTTGATAAATTAATTATAACAATATTCCAGTATTTTGACAATTTTATTTGCATTTTTGTTCTAATCATTTAAAAATAATCTACAATTATTCTATTTTTAATATATAAAGACATTATATTAATTACATAAACCATTTATAAGCTCTATAAAAAATTGAAATAAAATAAATAATAAACATCACACGCATCTTCAATTACAACAAAAAGATAATATTACAATATATATTTTATTTTGATGTAAATATAGAGATAAAATATATAGAGACAGAAAATATTATATAATGAAGAAATGTGTACATTGAGGAATTTGATTAACTTAATTATCAATAGGTAATAAGGATTAAAACTTAATAATAAATTTTGTTTGTTGTTTTATGCTGAAATTTATCTTATACAAATTTATATATTTCATTACTTATAGTAATAAAAAGTGATAGTAATAATTACAAAATATATTAATGTACTGCATCTAGAAATATCACAAAATCTTTTATAATTTTCAAATCAAAAGGACAGAAAGTCATATGTTTTAAAGTTACTATATTTTGATAAAAAAAAATATGTTGTTTTAATTATTCAACGAATAAACAAAGAAATTATATCTTAATTATTTATTATAAACTATTGTGGCTTGTGTAGATAGGATTATCACAAAAAAATGAAGTAAAGTTCAAGAGTTTAAATTGTGAGTTTGAAAATTACAATTTGTTAACTACAACTTTTAATTAGTCATTGAAAAATTTAATAGATAATGAAAAAATATTTAATATCCTTTTTTAATCACATTATTTTATATATTATGTTATAAAACTTTTTATCCATTTAAATTACGCATAGCAAAAATTATAGAAAATTTAATGATTGTTGTCATTAGGACAATAATAATAAAATGTGATTTTGCCCAACAAAAATGTAGATTTATTATATAGATTTTATTTTTTTTCGCAGCAAGCATTTTGTGTATATAAATAATTATTTTATAGTCAATATTATATGACTTTTCAACTTTTCTGTACATTTTTTTTGTAAAGTTTGTCCTACAAAGACTTCTTGTTGTGGTATAATTGTTGAATACCAAATATATAATGTGAGTTGATGTGACTTTCAGGGTTTATTTTCTAGTAAACAAAATATTATGTAACTCTTAATTAGCAATTGACAATGAGTGTTTTGCTTGGAATGACTTCTGGTTATGGTACTGAACAAATCCTTAAAAAAAACAATGTTTTACAATCTTCTATTGCATTTGGTTCTTTTGTGTCTGGACTGAAGTTCCTTGCAGGATGGCGTCGTGAAGGTGACGGAGGTATCGAAGATAGTCTTCATGGAAGCAGCTGCGGTCTCCCTGACGCTCACGCGATACCTGCATTCGAACTGCAGATCGTATATATCAAAGTGGGAGCCCTGGAACAGAGAAATACGAGATCCGTTGAAAGAGGACGAAGAAGAAGTAGTGGGTATAAGTATTTGAATATTTTTACTTTTGTGGTGGCAGCCAATTTCAGATGCGGAGCGTAATGGTCGTTGTTGCTTTTACACGGACCACTCCACCAAACAATGGTGTATTTGACGGGAGAGCTCTTTGCTTTCCAAACAATGCGTGCCTTTAAATCGCCCTGCGACCAAAACAACTTCTGCAATTGAAGGTCCTCGACTCGCCTAGGCGACTGCGGATTCAAATGGATCAAGTTCTCCGTCGCTGAAATCAACCGACAAACGACACACATAATAATAATAATAAGAATAATATTCGTAATTAAACATGCTTCGAGTGCAATAACACTTTAGGTTTTTTCGCATTCATAAACGAACCACACTCATTTCTCATATGCACTTATATTTTATATTATACTCATAACGAACAGTTCAAGATCACATAAATTTACTTTCCCACCATTTGTAGCAATCATTTGCATAGTCCGGTTTCAATTATTCCGGATTAACTATAGTCTGCTTTGAAAATTTTAAAACAATCTAAATTTTAGCGAAAATTAATTTATTCAAAATTAGTACCCAAAATTGTATTTCACTTTATACAGTCAAGTCTCATTTTTTTTTGGGTTTATTAAGTTCCTCAATTAGTATGGATTCAAACAGTCCGGGATATTGATAGCTACCCGCACTATGCAAGTTATTGTTGTAGTACAAAGACAATTTTTTTTTATCATATTACAATACGTTAAAAAGGATATACTTTATTGATCATTGGATCTCACTAAAATACAATTATAATAAGTTGAATAATTGAAATCTGTTTAAATTTCTAATAACAGGTAATGATAACAAAGACAATTAATTATTCAAAAACGACTTTCAGAAAAAAAAATGCCTTGAAAAGTAGTCACAATATGAATTTTTTTGACGACATCATTGTAAGTTTATTCGAATATGTACGTACGATATTGAACGTAGAAAGGTACAGATAAAAAGAAAATGTAACTGAAAAATAACGATTTTTGTATGTCTTCATGTTTTATTAAATTCTAATGTAAACACTGTAATTCAAATAGAGAAGAAAAAAAACTAATAATTACTAAACATTATTGCTTAATTAAAATATAAATTAAAATATAAAATGTTTTATTCAATCATTTCTATTTACTTTAATAAATATTTGAATCAAATTTATAGGCGACGATAAAATATTGCTTCATAAAAATATTACAAACATAAATTATTACAATTTGATTTTATCTTCGTATTTACATGTTATTTATTAATTTCTACCTAGTTCAATAGATATCATAATTCATTTTATGGGAATTTTCCAATTAACTAATCTCTATGAGGCGGAACTGAACGTCTATTGTTGTAAAGATTCATTATTATTTTCAATTAACTTTAAAATAACGGTGAAAATAGTAAATTTCAATTACGGTGAAACTTCGCTTCACAAGAATTTTCACAAGATTAGCAAGAATTTCGAGCAAAATAAATTGTAAGAAAAATGACTCGCTTAACAACCGACGTTTCGTATAACGAGTGACGATAAGAAGAGTAGTCCCGGATTGTGCGCCTGCTACATCATTTTCAAAACTAGTGCATGCATATTATGTGTATATTTTGAAAATATAAAAAATATTGGGAAATAGTTCCTGGTGTTAGTAGTCATCTAGTTTAATCTTAGTGTTGTTTGATTTTTCCAAACTTGTGTTTGAACTTGTTATTTGTATTTTTTTTTGTACAAAATTTACTCTCCGATAGCAATAGCCAAAGAATAAAAATAATCATACATATGTTAAGCAAAACTATTATAAATAACACCGAGTTTTTCGGCATAGATCGCATTATCGTATTTTATATTAGTTTACAATACGGATTTTTTTTTCATAAATTTGGTAATTCTGGAACGGATTATGCTCGTTAAGCAAAGTTCCACTGTATATAATCATCTTACATGTAATTAGAAGTTTTCATCACATAAATATGAAAAGACATAATGACAAGAAACTGCAAATATTTTTCTAATTACACTAATTTTTTTAATCAATGTTTTATGATTGTGAATTTTTATACCCTTTATAGAAACTATAGAATAATTTCATAAACAGCAGTACGATTGTAGAATTATTGAATTAATATCTAATTTCGTCTTAGATTCAATATAAATAATTAACTTTTTTAATCTGTTAAAGTTACTCAATCAACTTAATTCATGAAATCTTATAGAACTGAATGACCTTTATTTGATCTGTAAATCAATTTTGATTAAGAAAATCCGTTAAAATTATACTTTTTCTTTAATTATGTATAAATACTTACAATTTATGCAATGAAAAATGACTTTTTAAATGGTTATTTTTTGTTTATATCTATATTTCATCCGTTAAATGTTAATGGATGAAATATAGATTTTTTTTTATTTATAATTACTTTAAAATTCATAATTAGCAATGAAAAATAATTTCTATAATATACCAATTCTAAAAAAAAGAAAAACAAAAATGTGCATAATTTTCATATTAATATTTTATGTTACTCAAGTAATATTTCATTACACATTAATTATTGTCATTAATCGTACAATACTCTCAATACATTTCTTTATAAGTTGAAACAAATATACAAATTAGAATATTTAAATTTTAATTAAATTAATTATAATCACATAAAGATACAAACCTTTGGCCAGATATATTTTATTAATTCTATACATTTTATTGTTATATTTTTCATTTATTCATGATTTAAGTTCTGTTTTAGATAAAATATATGATTAATTACTATTTAATTATTAATGTTTATAATATGATAATTTATAATAATAAAGTTTACTCACCATTGGAATAATAAGTTGTATTCAATATCAATCCGGACTTCTCTCCCCTTAAAATCTCTTTCCCATACTGAACAAGGGCCTGTACTTGCAAGAAATACAATGAATCCATCTCCAGGTTGTTTATTATGAAATGCGTTTGATCCTGAAAGTATCATCATTGTTTCCACCTTATTAATAATACGTGAAAACGATACGGACTAATGGATTTAACAGGGAGTGTTAGGTTTCCGAAAATAGGGCTCTTTTGTTATCAGGTGTATATAAGGATGGGATCCTGGACCAAAGGGCATCAGTTCATTGCAACCTGTACAACCATGTTCAAGTCTACAGTAACAGTAAGTCACCAATATTTATAATATTATTATTTATCATAAAATTAATTACTAATAACAAATATATTTTATAATATGTTGATTTTGTCTTAATTAATTGATTTGATTTAGTTCATCGTTATTCTCTGCGTGGTCTCGATTGGAGCCAACAGGTTTTGGGAGAAGAGCGATTTGATGAAGTGGAACGAAAAAACTAAGAACTTGCCCAACTTTTCGCAAGATTGCGACGATTCATTAGGAGATTGTCCCAACGAAATTAGCCATATGGAGTTTAAACGCAAACAAAATCCCAAGACTTTGGTCCTCTCCGATCTTCCGGTAAACTATCAAACAATTTCCTTCGAAACTTCTACCATTAATTTAAATTAATTATTTAGAGAGAAGACCCGATGTTCAAATATCTGCCAACTTCTCAACCCGAGGAAAACCAATGCTCTTGCGGAAGGGAAAACAGATTCGTCGACCTGGGACCCAACACTTATCCCAGGTAATTATACTAAGACTATGTAATGTTGTTATTTTTTGTTATCGTTGTTGTACAGATATATTGCTGATATGGTTTGCAATGCTGGAGGATGCGGTATTTACTCTTGCCGCCCGAAGACCTACAAACTTTGGGTGATGAAGAGACGTACCTCTGGAGCATCCGCCTTCTCCGATTTGGACCCAATTCCGATGGAGCTTAGAGCAAACTGGAGCGGATTAGGAGTTCTGGTTACAGTGGATTGCGAATGCGGACTTTAAATACTATTATATATTATAAACTTGTATACCCTTTGGATTTAAAATAAACGTAACTGTGTGAAGCAAATTGAATTATGTAATTATTACCTTCGGAACAGTTTGCTGCAGCACCAAAACAGAATCCAAAGCTGTGGCCCCATGCAAACGTCTGCTCCAAAAGACCTTGTACTTCTGAATGGGAAGATCGGAGTAAGGTGGTGTCCACTTTAGTTCTGCGTGAAGAGATCCGTTGATGGTCCACAGTGGTCCAACTATCACGCTCTGTGGTGCCTTAGGAGGTTTTGGACCTGTAAAATTGAAGGTTTTGTTTATTTCAAGAGAAACGGATGTTAAATGATTGAGGAATTCGTTACCTGCTTGCGCTATGTATTGGATCGGATCGGAGAATCCCTTTGTGCCGTTCGTGTTGACTGCTGCTATTCTGAATTGATACCATCTGCCTGGTCTCACGATGTGCTTCAATAAAGCACCGGCCTTCGTCGATCTGTAACACAGATTCCACTCGCCCATGTGGCTTTCGGTGAAGTACTTTCCCGGATGGTGACGCTCCTCTATTACGTAGAGCACACGGTTCGCCGACACTTTCTTCGCCTTCCATTCCACGAATAACGAGCGCTTCTTTCGCGCCCTGATCACTATATCCGATGGAAGTTCTGGTAATCCTAAAAAAAACACACAATTCCATACTTCAATTAACAATAATATTAATCCAATTTATTGCAATAATCATAAAAAGTTCTTGAATCATTAACATTTGCTAGTCCACCAATTAGTTATGTAATTATATTAGAATAATGATCAAGTACATACAATTACAATTTATATAATTAATGGTATAAATAAAATCTTTTTGTTCAAAGAAACGTAATATATTTATAGATTGAAGAGTATCTAACAAAATACAAGAAAAATATTTTTGAGAATCAATACTTTTGGTATAATTATTTGATGTTAATTAGCAAATAGTATTCAAGTAGTGCAATTATTTATTTTTAGAGACTTATCATTAGAAGAAAGCTGTGACTAACTATCAATTTAACAATTTGAGGTCAATAAGTTACACTTCCTGTTGCATTTATATTTAATGTCAAACTACTTTAGCTTAGTCTAAGTAGCATAATGAAATTTCTACTTTATAATCACTTATAGATTCTTATTCTATCTTATATAATTGACAGGTATATTGACATATAGAGATTATTAAAAGAAAGTTACGAGTGAAAATCAATGACAAAAATTCTTGTTCAGAAGAATTGAATATCAATAGTATGGTTCAAGTTTCATAAACATTTGTACTTATTTCATCTGCAAAAATTAATGAATTAGTTAGTTTTCAGGATCTGTACTACTCATAAGTGAAGTAATTGCAAAATTACATTGCATTGCATTGTTGGAAGAATGTTAAGTTTTATGTAAAACTATTTATATATTACATTAAATATATGAAATAATAGCAGTGGATATTGAATACCAATTTTTCGAACATAAATTATATTTTTCTTTTCCTTTATTTTGATGTGTTTAGTTAGTCCGGTTCCACGATTAGTCCGGTTTCAAACAGTCCGGGATATTGGCGGTCTACAATTAAACATTTGCAAATGTAATGTCTAGTCAAATATAATGGTAATGGAGAGTCATCGTTAGAAGAATGTTAGTAGCGTTGAGGATCAATACCATAAGAAAATGTGTTGGCTGTTATGGTTTCGATGGATAAGAAGACTATTGAAGTACACTCGGTGCTCCTCGATTTAATGGGGGTTCCGTTGGGAGCAGCGCAAGAGCATGTCATGTATAAATAAGTAAATCCTCGTTGTACAAGTTTTTTTCTTGTCGGCGTTTCGAGAACCGAGCGAAGAAAAAAAAACGGTTGTAAAGAATCCAAGTACCGCCACTGATGATGTAGTTAATCAGTTGTATTGAATAAGGATAAGAAAACAAGAAGAATAAGACGAAGAAGAACCTCCTCCTTCTTCTTCTTATTCTTGGAGGTGGAGGAGGATGGGGAGAGAGAGAGAGTTATAACGCACAGGAGGTTGGCAGGAAAAAGGACGAGAAAAAGGAATGGTGCATCTCGAGTCGGGAGGGACGGAGCGAGAGGACGAAAAGAGAGATCACCGTTGTTGCGTGGTCCGGTGGGGCTCTTCGCAAATAAATTTCACCAATATTGAATTACCAATGGCCTAAATGTATGACAGACCACCAAGGATTCAGAATTTATTATAATTACGTCGACGATTTGTGAATACCAAAGCGGTCTCGAAACGCAACCGATTATTAAACGGCGAACTTGATGGCTTGTTTCGTGCCGTCGTCATTATGTAATCTCTTCCACTCTTCGTCTTTCTCTCTCTCCGTTTCTCGTCCTTCTCTCATCTCTCTCTCTAGGCGAGAGCAAGTGTGTATGTGTGTATTGGAAGATGTCAATACATTTTCGCATGCCTCATCAGTCGGCAATTTACGGCAAATTATTAAATGCATGAGGTCTTAATGGCTTAATAAATACCTACTGCGAAACCGACGCACTGCCTTCTTCCAGGTACACCCGTTTTCATTTTAATTGCTTTTTAATACAAAATACTATTCCTCTTCCAATAACAAACCTTATTATTCCTACCATCGACCATCCACGATCTACCATCTTCCATCCATCCACAATTCACCGTACGCAGCAATTTTCTCGCATCCATTAGAATAATCGTGCAATTGCTACAGCCGCTTTATTTGTGTCCTGAGCCGTTTTCAAATTAAAACTTAATCTCGCGAAAATGATTCTGCGCGTAATTATATGCATTACACGTAAGAAACCCATAAATATTAATTATTTTTGTAGATCCTTCTTAAGAGGTGTGCGTGAAGCGATGGATGCGTGGAATGTAATGATGGAAAGAAACATGATTGAAAAATTACACATTTCATAGCTCGTTAGCTTCTGGTGTAAATTGAAAGCGAACTATGCGAATCTATTATGATAAAAAATATACAGTTCTTAATAATCTATACTTCATGAATGAAAATACCAGATTTAACATTCCAAAAACAGGCAACTTCTATACAACAATATAAAATCTCTTATCGATTTTAGTAAACTATTTATTTCGGCTATTCTAAGAGAAATAGAGATTTATAAAGTTAATAATATTGATAATTTTAATAATATTATCACAATAGAAACATTAATTTCATATTAATGTCATATTTTCAATTAGTATTAAATTTCATTACATAAATTTCTTGTATGTTATGTCCTGTGTATACATTAAATATAATTTAAATCTTATACATTTTTTGTTAAATTTGTAGAATTAGATTTTTTTAATGTCTACTTTCAAAATTAAAACAATAGTTTGAACTATTATAAAAAAAGGAAATCTGAACTTTATCTACAAATATTTTTGTATTTCTATAGTAATTTCATATAAGTATTTATAAACACAAAGATTTGTAATTATTTATTTAAATACTGATTAAAAATACAATTGGATTGATGAGTTTATGTGAATAATTAAATAGACAATTATTTTTAAATTAAAGAAGATTTATGAATGCTCATAAAAGTGAACTATTAATACATTCCATATTTATACCAATTGATAATGAAACTCAATTATCGCATCTCCACTTTTTCATTATGATTTATATTATTTAAACGAGGCAAATGAGAAGTGAACTGCCAGGAATCCCAAGGCTGCATCATATAATTTGGGAACATTTTATGGGTTGCTGCCTTCGAACCGAGCTAATTATTATGAATCACATGCAAAGAGATCAACAATAAGTACCACGAAACACGTACTTAATTATGCATTGTTTCGGAATTTTCTTTGCATGACTATGTGTGTGTGTATTTTGTCTTTTCGGTGCGTTTTCTGTTGAGAAATCGCGAAAGTTCCCAGATGCATTAACTAAATACGCAATTATAAGAGAAATGAGAATAACTGGGGGGATCGACTTTTATGGTAATTGATTCTTCTACGGGAACAATAGGAATTACCATCACGACTCACTGCTTCGCCTGAGAACCGGTGCAGAATCTCAAGGACGTATTTGGAATTATAATAATTATTATTGTTGTTGTGATTAACGTACATTTTTTTCAAGATATTTCATGAGTGTTCATGAAATTATATAGACGAGAAACATGCTGTTGACATTTGTATTAATATATCAAAAGTTTACAGTTAATGTTCGATTAACGTACAAAAAGTGCAGTACCTTAAACGAATGTGCGTTATGAACGTACACTATATTGCCAAACTTATGCATCATAAGTCCTCATCTTAATATATCAAAATACTCAAAATTATTTAAAAAATAATACCATATGAATATAATGTGCACAGACTGTTTTCATTGTACGTTCGTGCGACTATATGAAGATGTCAATACATTTGCGTATGCCACATTAGTCGACAATTTGAATATGAATATGTATTTTTTTAAATTATCTATGTATTATCGAAAAAACGTTAAAAAAGAACTACGTTACCATCTATATTATGTGAATCACAGTAAATTTATTTGCATGATGAGATTGGTTTCTCAAAAGGCAACGTACCCAGAAGGTATACCTACCAGTAATCACGTGTGTTCAATTTACATTTGTTGGCAACTGTGACGCCACTGCGTCGGGTGTAACTGATTGATTTTCAGCAAGTTAATGAAACAGGTTTAGATATCAAAATAATGGCCCAGTTCTTTTTCCCCATCGTCCGTCCTCCGTTCTTTTTTTTGTGCTTTTCGTTTCTCTTTCGCCTCCTACCTTTTTTTTCTCTCTTCTTTTTCTTCTTCCTCACTCCACCTCTTCGATGTGAGGCACTCGGAATCGCAATAGGACCACCGGCTTACACGCCATCATTACGTAACATGTCAATATACATCAAGTCAGTGCCTTTTATGTTGTTCCACTCAATTTGATCGAGCCGATTTCTTCTACCCAAACCCACCTCTCTCTCTCTCTCCTCCACCTCCTCATTCTCCTCTTCTTATTCTTCTTCAGCGCAGAAATTAACGGACCAGGAAGATGACTTTTGTAAAACGAAATAACCACGAACGTTCACTAATTGCTTCGCAATATTTCTCATACAACTTTTTTTAATGAAGTTGCATCAGTTACATTATTATACTATAAAGTTTAATTATTGTATTCTTAATCACACGTCATCTAGTACAGATATTGTACAATTACAAGAAAATGTATTTAGAAAGCATTGAATATTTTTATTAACGTACATTTTGTAAAGATATTAAATAAGCACGGTGTTGATTTGTAGTCCTATATAAATCATTTTTCAAATATAGTAAATGTTCGGTTAACATATATAATATATACTTTAATTGAAATAATTTCCGTATAAACGTATGTATATATGGCCTTTGTGTAATTTTTTCTCTTTGTTTATACTTACGTACTTGTTAATGTAAGATAAACACTTTTTTTTTATAATTATTAATTTACTTTGATCAATTTATTGAGTTCTGTTATTGTTCTTATTAAAGTTTATAGTCAAATATAAATCATTTTTGAAATATAGTAAATGTTCAGTTAACGCACATAGTATGTACGTTAATCGAATAATGAATTACCATATAAACATATGTATTTACGTCTTTTGAGCAAATTTGTCTCTTGGTTTACACTCACTAATCATCGTCAAGTAAACACATTTTTTTTATAATTATAAATTTTCTTTCAAATTAGTATTCAAGTACACGTTCTATTTTAAATATATTTTTTGTGTACAAGTTTTCATTATTTATTTTTTCATGACTTACCTGGTGCATTATTTAAATTAAGTGCTGACTGACAAGTAATGCCACACTTATGTCTGCAACACTTCGTGGTTTTTGGACAATCCGTGTCGACTTTGCACGTGTTCATGCATACAGCTGCGAAGGGGGAAAGGGTTGAGCCCTCCGGGTACAAGAGGTTTGGGCACGCGCCAGGTTTCTCTGAACCCTTCTGCAAACAACTTTTCACACACTGAAACCAACAAAAAAAAAACATGATTAAAACCACATGTCGATATCTTCATTACATTACTTAAATTTCATAAATCCAATACTTTGTTAAAAATATGAGTTAAACTAATTACAAATAAAATTAAATTAAAATAATAATATTTTTTAGAATTATACAGAAATACCAAGTATAGTCCGAGTTTCCACAATATCTAGGAGTAAATTGAAATTTTCAAACCGGAATATTCTGAATCCGGACTATGCAAGATACTGCTGTAATTTGAATTTATGTCAGTTTATTGTTATATACTTCAAAGAATGAATCGTGTATATTGTTCAATAATCAGTAAAAGAAATTAAGTTAAATAGAATAAAATAATACAGTTTTTAAATAAACTAAAAAATCTAGCTAATATATGGAAAATAAGTTTATATAACTTTATTATAATTTCAGTAAAACATATTATAAATCAATTATCAATATAAAAAGTATAATCATTGAATTATTTAATAATTTAATTCTAAGCAGCTTAAGAATTTAACTCCGGAAATGTTTCAAATTAAAAGATCTATCCTTAAGATTTGATTGAATCCTTAAGTTATTGATTATTATCTTGTAACTAAGGGAAATTGCGGGTTTTTAATTGAAATAATTTAGTTACAATAAATTGTAAATTTAATATTTCAAATAAATTGAAAAGAGTAATTAATGTTATTTTATGTTTTCATGAAACATATGTTAACTTTCACTTTTAATTGTATAACATAGGTGATATTTGTTAATTTATTTTAATTGAGATTAATGAGAAGAAATAGGGAAACGAACAGTGAGTAATTAAGAGAAATACATTGATATTCTTAATAAATTTATGAACGTCGTATCACGAGATAAGAACAATTATTAATTAATATCGGAATCATTACCAGTAACTGGTTTTCGTGGATGATGCGAGATTCTGCAAGAGTTAGAGTGGATTTTCACGCCCATCGGACGTCGGATCTCACCCGTAAAATGCATCAATAGCATTTTACGATTATTTTTCTCCCTTTTCCCCGCCGTATTTCTCGTTATATCCATACCATACGTACGTATGTATACTTTTACATTTCTTTCGCATCATCCTCTCCTTCAGTCCACTTTTATTCATCCCCGATCCAATCCTCCTCAGTGCGAACGCTAATTACGCGAAGAATGCGGTATGTATTTCAGTAATTTTACGGAGCCGCGTGGCGGAATAACGATATTTAGAACTTATGCAACCGGCAATCTTGTGCAATCTTCTATATTTTATTTACTTTATTGCGAACCGCCTCGCATTACCACCTATCAATTAAAAAAACGGGCAATTCCGTCGGGCTCTTCTCATCTCTGTTCTTTCGACTTCTATGGATCATAATTTATATAATACACATATACGCACAGACTCGTGCACGGTGTTATGCGAAAATGGAGTTTCTTCTTGGAATGGCAATTAATTCGTACACATACACATACCGAACATTGGCTCCAACAATGAGAGGAGTCCATATAAGTCTCTTCGTGGAGAGTATACATTGCTCATTTTATTGGGTTGACGGCCTTCGATCATTAAAAACATACTTGTACCATGCATCGATTTAGTAAATCTACATATAACATAAGAGTACTATTGTACTTTACATTTATACAAGACAATACCTATTTGATTTATTGTAAAGCCATTATCATATACTGAACATGAGTTGAAATTACATTTCTGTTTTGTAATTGAAAAAGTTATAGGTGTATTAGATCATTAAAAACATACTTTATTGCATTTTTTTCTTTAATACCAAATTGATATATGAGAAATTATTTTTTTACTTTATAAATTATTGTGTTGACATGAAAGTAATTACCGTTTTCACAATAGATTTCTTCCTTCTGTCATTTCAAAGATGTCTCTTTTAGCTTTCTTAGGAAGCTAATTTTGTTTGCAGCTGTTAGTTTAGAGTAAATTATAGTAAATAGTTAAACTAATATCATAGAACTTGTAGCCCTTATCAACAATATCTGAACCAAGTTCGATTTTTGATCATCATAATTAGTGAAAGTTTTACCATTAAAAGAGATTTGCAAACTTAGAAATAAATGATACCTCAGATTATCAGGGTAATATGGCGGCCTTACTTCCCAACAAGTTCCAATAATTTTCCACAAGTTACCAAAGGTGTATGAGGATTTGAATTGTTTTTTTGTCATATTCCTTTAGTTGCTTCTTCCAATTTCATTAGATGTTGACAGTAAACATATCAATTAATCATTTGGTTGCAGCTCAGAATATGTAGTTTATGCTGGTTCATCACACACAACATCCCTCAAATGGAAAAAGGAAAAAAACATAACATAATAGAAGTTCTTCAAAATAAAAATAAAGCTATTATAATTATAGGAAGATCTCGTTTAGCGCTTTAGATGCGTTTCTGAGACAGAGAGCTAAACGAAGCAACACATAGCAAATAAGGAAATGAGAACACGCGACCAAAAATAAACAAATTTTACTTTAATTTTAAGTAATTTGTATTGTAATATAGGTTTTATATAACACAAACATTTGAAATATTAAGTTTATTTTTGTGCTGAAGATCTTGGCTCTTCTGATATTTTTTTGGCTATAAAATTCATTAAGCAAATGTTGTAAACTGACGATCACACAACTTGATCAACGATTTCGGTTATAGTTTCTAAACTTTTTCTAAGACAATCTGTAGCACGTTCTTTTGGTTAATCGTCTTCAGAATCACTAATTTCACGTTCTTTAATTCCTTGTTCTGCCAGTTCTTGAAGGTTGTCATTGGCTCTCACCAGAAACCTGCAGTAACTCCTTAATATCCTGCTTGTCTACATCTCAAACAAGCATAGATTCTGTGAAAGGATAGTGCTACGAATTCGTGTCTAAAGTAGGACTTTCTGTATATGTTACTATGGTTTCAGTTTTTGAACAATCCTTAGGCAAAATGTAAGTTTAATGTTCGAGGTTCCACTTTACAAGAATTTGAAAGAAATAGTATAAAATGTAATAGAGAGAAACAAAAAACATCACCACTTAGAATTGAAAAGTAAATAAAAATTTCATTTTTTTTTTAAGAATAACACAATAATAATTAAATAATATAAATTATTAGTATAATATGAAACAGGACAAAAATATATTTATTTTATAATAAAATTACCAAAATTCATTTATTACATTTATTTTTCTTCAATTTACTATTGTTTATTTCATATTAATAAGTAAAGATTTTCACATATTTCTAAAATTAGATTAATTGTGATTAATAATTCAAAAGAAATTTTAGAAAAATGTGTTAATTTTTTCAAAATTTAATTTATTCCTGAATATTGAAAATAAGTTTTAATATCTAAAATTACTAGAAAATATCAACCAATATAGTCTGTAAACATATTGATTGATTTATAATTGTAATGAAAAGAAGGAATAAAAACTTTACATGAAATAGCATGACACCACTCTCGTTCGCTTTCAATAATATCCTATCAACTCACCATTCACTACGCCTGCAAAGAACTTTTTGACATGAGATTAATATTTATGATCGTACGTTTATCCAGTCATAAATTAAAGAAAGCCGCAATTAATCGCAATAAAGTTATTTGAATTTATAATTGAATTACAGCTTAAATTAACGTTTTGCAAGTCGACATCATACACGTTTCTACTCAGTCTTTCATTTCATATTGACTTTTTTTTTGTCAGCAGAAATGTGATGTAACTCGTTACTTATAGAATCCGGCCGGCCTTTTCTAATACGAACAAGTCGGCTATACCGTATCGATTGATTTTATTTGAATTATGTAACAGTTTAATGGGAAACAGTTAGGGCGATTTAGATTCATCATACTGTTTTTTTTTTTGTGAATGTCGTGTCTTTGCTGCTTCGACAAAAAATAAACTATGGCACATACAATTGTGGATCTTAAAGAAATGTACACTCCTTTGATGGATTTACAAAACAATAATTCATTTTTTTTTATAATATATAAGATAAATTGAGTCAGTTTTTAATAAAAGCAAAAAGAGTTCATAGCAAATTGGACTTATTATAAGTATTTTAATAAAACTAAAAATAAATAGAAAAGAAAATCAAAGATTTTTTTTTGTTAAAATCAGTAATTATTATCAGGATTTGAGATTTTCATTGATATTTCATTGAAAAGCTAATAAAAAGCAATATAACTCGCATAGTCCGCTTTATCAAATTAATAATAAATATTTTAAACTTAATTATTTTTAAAATTTACTTTTTATTCAATTTTCGAAGAAGAAAACTAGTTTATTTAAAAAAAAATGATTTAATGGGAATAAACATTCCTGAAATAATATGAATTACTGTATACTTTATGAAACATGATAAAATGTTTGAATTTGTCACAATACTACTTATGGGTCAAAATGACCCATTTATGAAATATTACAAAAATCATTTGTTTTAAATGATTGATTTTTACAATAAAATTATTATTTATTATTTAAAAATTGTTGTGTTTCAATAGTCATTTTAAGCTGCATGATATTTGCAATCAGAATTCTAAAATTTCGGGAAATCTTTTAGTAGCACGTTCGCTCATTCATATATGGTTCACACAACACACGTCATACTTATTTTATCGAGGAATACCTAAAATTCCTCTTTCCCAATGGTGAGGATTCATATATAACTGTTGATAGCAGCGACATTCAATGCTTTAGTCTCATTATAGAAATGAATGATATCATTTTTTTTTCTATTTTTATTGACAGTATTAGTGTGGTGCAAACTGGATATCAGATTGACATGGGTCAATTTGACCCGAAATACAATCTACAATAAAATAAGTACCTCTCGGCGCGACTGCTTTGCTCCTACTGAAAAGTGTCATAGAAAATACTGGAATAACTAGAATAGTTCAACCTCCTCTATATTAGATGGGTCACTCTGACCCATCCGCGGTACTTACGGGTTAAGTCAATTTATTAAAATGTTACCTAATATATGATTATA